TTGGCTGATTAGCTGATACAGCCATATCTTATTTTACGAAAAACCAAAGCATGGTATAAAAAGGTGGCTATCTATCTGATGCAAATCGCAACCCACAACTCATTTTTGCTTTTTAGAAAAAAATAATCCAGGAAAAACCACCTTTCCCCAATTTCAGTTGAAAATAATTTCTTTAACAATTTATGGAGATGGACAAGTTCCATCAATGGTGCAAGCTGAGTCCAGACATTTTATTTTTAAGTTACCGCCAACTGCCCCAGAAACGTTACCGGGTCTGTTTTAAAAACGGGAAAAGGACAGACACCCTTTTCACTGTCCTGATTGCCCTTTGAAACCAGAACTGTGTGTAGGAACATATTTCAAGCTGTACCACACAGAACAGTTGTAAGAAGTGTTCCTGAATTTTTATTTCTTTGGAAAGCAGACATTTTTTTGTTTCCTTCCGCCAAGTCTCCAGTTAGATTCTATTTGCAGGAGTCAGTTTAAAGATTGCTGCTAAAAGTACATTTACTACCTGCACATTTGGTCTACCAAATTTTCTGGCAGTAACACATAACCAGCTGGCCAAAACCAGATGACGTGTGCATAAAAACCAGAATTAAAAAATTACCACTACACTTTCTCTGTTTTTTGGGCCAAATGGTTGGGGAAAGAAGTCAAAACACCCCATCTTCTATAACCTTTGATGTCTACTTTATAAAAAATATAAACTATATACTACTTTCATGATGGTAACATTAACTGGGAGGTGCAAAAATATGTCAAACTGAAGATAGACCAAGCATAAATATTTATAAAGATGAAAAACTGAAATGTACAAGTTCTGATTGTTGCCTTTTGGCCCACAAACAACCCAGCAACCCTATACATGGGGGTTATCACTGTACTCCGGAGATGTTGCTGAACATATTGGGGTGTTTGGCAGTGACGCATAACAGGATCTGTTAATTTATGCCTAAAGTACAATGTGTGTGAAAAAAGCAAAAAAAAAAAAAAAGTGTACTACCTCAATGTTTGACAAAGCCTGGTGGTAGAATTAGTGCATGGAAAGTGTTAAAATACCACCATGTGGGGGCGGGGCCTGACAGGCATGGAGGAGAGACGTGTATTGAGGGAGCTCCTCTCCTATTCCGACTAATAAGCAAACTTTTGCCTAACCCAGCTTGATTTGGGTCGAATCCAGGGCCTCACCTACTACTTGCTCCAGCTGAGAAACACTGCAGGGCCCAAAGATTCGACGTGAGCCCATCTGTGGCACGTCTCGGAACATGCGGCCTAGGTTGCACTGGGCGGGAGAAGCGGCCGATCTCCCGGTCTGGGGCTACACGACGGCACTTACTGGAAAACAGATGCCCCGTTTCCCCCCCCTCTGGACCGGTGGGGGTGATCCCGGTCCACCCCTGGGAGGCTGCCCTGTTGGCACAGAACCATGGGGTGAAGTCATGCCAGCTCACACACAACCCGACGACTTACCTAAGATGGCGGCTGCCACGAGGATCCCCTGCAACACGGGGGAAAGGCAAGATGTCATGTCCAGACTGGACAAAATCTTTGAAGCTTTCTGGCAGAGAGTGGAGAGCAGGATACAGCACCCCTCCTTCAAACAACCGGGTAGCTGCTCTACACCACGGCAAATACACACCAAGCAGCAGCCTGTGGCTCCAGCAGCACGCAGGCCCCCAACATGGCGGCGAACCACGAAGAGCTCAACGATCCGGCGCAGGAAAGCTACCAAGAGGGTCGCGCTGCGGCCCATCACGGAGACCCATCAACAAACTGCAGTGCCGGGAATAACCCCAATCTGGTCACAAGGAACAACCTGTGGGTGCACACAGAGACTCAGAGGACCACCATTCCTCTTAAAGCCACAGGACAATGCAATACCACTATCCGGCATAGGCTGATACAGGTGCCAGGGCTGCATAAAGACGAGCTGTTGCCCTTTTGTGACACAACTCTCATACACCCTTGAACTCCCGTGACACTACACTCCAGCATCTTTTTCCTAATCTCTGGTATCACCCCATGCACACTTTTTACCACATGCAACTAGTCAGGGGCCTCCCTGGGAAATTTCCCTGTTTAAAATTCATGTTGATATATGCATGTCTCTATCTTTAACCTTGAGAATATCTGTGTCTTCGATACACTATCTGCCCACTATCTGTATACAGTAATCTGCTTAGGCACGTTAGACCTAACTGTTTTGCTAACCCCCCAAAAAAGGTGTACTAACTTACTCTGTTTGCCATGCAACTGTCTTATATTGTACGATACTACCTTGCTTGTTATTGCAGTCATGGCATCATAAACATGTTTTGTTATTTCTGGCACAGCAAAAATAAAGAATTAAAAAAAAAATAAAAAAAAATACCACCATGTGAAATACCCTAGGGTGTCTACTTTTCAAAAATATATGGCTTGATGGGGGTAAAATACATTGGCCGGCTTCAAGAATGTCCCAAATAGGACATGCATGCAGGTTGACTACATGTCAAAATTCCAAGTGGCCTTTTAGCCCCCCAACAACCCGACACACCTATACATGGGTGGTATGACTCTACTCGGGAGATGTTGCTTGGCAGTGACACCTAACAGAATCTGTGAATTTATACCTGAATTGCAATGTAGGTGAAAATAAATAAATAAATAAATAAACTACCTATGCAAAGTTTGGCAAAGTGGCTGTATAGAAAGTATCAAAATATTCTTAGATGAATACCCTGGGTTATCTAGTTTAAGAAAAATATATACATATGGGGTGTTTTTTTGGAGATGACATAACAGTGTTACAATTGATACATTTAAAAAAGCAATTTCCTACTTGTACTTATAGCCCTATAACTTGCAAATAAAAGCCAAAAAACACAAACATTGGGTGTTTTTAAACGCAGGACAAAATTTTGAATCTATTTAGCAGTTTGTTTCATTCGATTTTGTCGATCAGTAAAAGATTTTTTTTAAGTAGAAGTCAAAAAATGTGTTTTTAAATTTTTCACCATATTCTATTGTATTTTTTTTAAATTAAATTACATGATAAAAATAATAGTATGTAAAGAAAGCCCTTTTTGTCCTGAGAAAAACAATATATAATTTGTATGGGAACAGTAAATGAGAGAGTGGAAAATTACAGCTAAACACAAACACCACAAACTTGTTAAAATAGCTCTGGTCCTTAACGTACAAACATCGCAAACAGTCCGGTTCTGAAGGGGTTAAGGGGAAAAAAAAAATTATAAATGAAAGGTCTTCAAACAAATATTAGAAATGTACATTTTTTTAGAATATACCATTGGGTAATACATATGAAAAAAATTAAATGTGGCTTCATGAAAAAGTAAACAAAGAAATTAAAAATATGAAAAGGGCATATAAAGTATTTACATCAGAGGCAACCTATAAAAAGATATAAAGATGCCAATAAGGCACGCAAAAAGCCGATTTGATTGCTAAACTATAAAATGAAAAAATGATAGCCAATAAGAACAACCCCAACAGATTTTTTTTTTAATTTTTTTTTTAAATGCATGCATTCTAGAGGAAAAAACAAAAACGAAATGTAGGTACACTGAAAATAAAGATGGTTAATTAATGAAGACCAGGAAAAGGGAGACATTTTAAACAACTATTTTTCCTCAGTATAGATTATAGGGACACTATCTCTTAAGTGATCTGGGTGTAGAGTCCTCTTAATCCTGCAATTGTAATTCTTGTATTTATTGAGAAACTGCAATAATTACCCCCCCCTCATCAGCGGAGGAGCAGAGTCAGAGCCTGGCCCACCACCAAGGGACACTGGCGCTGGAATCAGATAAGTGATAAAATATATTTTTTTAACCCTTTCAGCGCTGAGGTGGGGGCAGGGAGCAGCAGAGGGTACTCCTAGCACTATAGTTTCCCCTTAAGGAGCAACTTATGGGAAGAGATATGCAAACGTTGGCTGCAACAAGCCTGCTGAAAAATTGTGATTAGATGACTCAAGGCAAGGTGCTGCAGCAACTAAAGAAAGTTAGCATAAACAAAGCTCCATGGCCTGACAGTATTCATAAATAAGTACTTCAATTAGTGAACCTCTGTTTTAAACTTTCAAGATTCCTTTCTTTCAGGAATTGTACTGGAGGATTGAAGGAAGGCAAATGTGGTTCCTATATTCAAAAAGGGTTAAAAAAAAAATCTTTGCCTGGAAGTTATAGACATGTGAGCTCAACTTCTGTGGCTGGTAAAGTATTTGAAGGGTAGTAAGGGATAATATTGAGAAACATTGGTAGGAACATTATCAATTATTATTAGCAAAAATCTGCATGGTTTGCTGAAACATAGGTCATGCCTAACAAAATTGCATTCTACAAAGTAGTAAGTAGAATGTATATATCAGGGTCTTGCAGTGGATGTGACATATTTGGATTTTTTTCCCCAAGGCATTTAATACGGTTCCAAGCAATAGGTTAGTGTTCAAACTAAAAGATATAAAAAGATAAAAATTGTTCTTAGTATAACATTGACTTAAAGATAGAGTACACAGAATTCTTAATGGCAAAGCTTTAAGCTGAACAAAAGTGGTAAGTGGTGCCCCTGGGACCACTTCTATTTAATATATTTCCAAACAAAGTATCTTAAAATAGGCAGTGAAAGTAATGTTTCAGTGTTTGCAGATGTCACAAAACTAATGTGAGCATGATATTACTTTGTTGCATAGGGATTTAGATAGACTGGGCACTCAAATGGCAGATGAAATTGAACGTAGATAAATGCAATGTTATTCACTTCGGAGTAAAGAATGCACAATCAGCTTACACCCTAAACCAGGGGTGTCCAAACATTTTTCAAAGAGGGCCAGATTTGATGAAGTAAACGTGTGAGGGCCAACCATTTTGCCTGACATTCTTTGAACCATTAAAATGAAATGTTTATTAACTATTTTATGCAAAGTTTATTGCAAAATGACATACTTTTCATTTCATCTCTTTAATTCTCCCTCTCCTCTCTTTAATTCTGTCCCTCTTTATTAGTTCTCTATATTCTCTGCCTCCAGGGAGAAGGAACCAAATCCTGCTACGTCCAAGAGATCGCGAGAACACAGACTGAGGATGAGCAGTGACTGCACGTCCCTCTGCATTCTCGCGATCTCTTGGCCCCCAGTGAATGCCCACACACCACTCAGGACCGCAGAGTTCAAAGATCCAGGGATGCTAAGCAGCGCTCGGGGATTCACTGGGGGCCACAACAGATAGTTCAGCCAAATTACCTGTGGGGCCGTATTAAATCGGAACGCGGGACGCAATTGGCCGGACTTTGGACATGACTGCCCTAAACAGTAGTGAATTAGGCATAACACACAAGATTTGGAAATTGTTATAGACAAACTAGGCAACATTGTGCAATGTCAATCAGCAGTTTCTAAGGCCAGTAAGATTTTGACATAAAAAGGGACATTATTTCTCAGGATGAAAATTACAATTTTGCCTCTTTATAAAATCACTGATAAGTCTACAGCTTGAATATGCTGTGCAATTTTGAGCACCTTTTCTAAATATGGATATTAGGGCACTAGAAAAAAAAATGCAGAGGCAGGCTATAAAAAACAAAAGGAATTAAACATAATTAAAAAGTAAAAAAATGGAAATCTCAGAGGATATGATAACATTATACGAATACAGGGAGTGCAGAATTATTAGGCAAGTTGTATTTTTGAGGATTAATTTTATTATTGAACAACAACCATGTTCTCAATGAACCCAAAAAACTCATTAATATCAAAGCTGAATATTTTTGGAAGTAGTTTTTAGTTTGTTTTTAGTTATAGCTATGTTAGGGGGATATCTGTGTGTGCAGGTGACTATTACTGTGCATAATTATTAGGCAACTTAACAAAAAACAAATATATACCCATTTCAATTATTTATTATTACCAGTGAAACCAATATAACATCTCAACATTCACAAATATACATTTCTGACATTCAAAAACAAAACAAAAACAAATCAGTGACCAATATAGCCACCTTTCTTTGCAAGGACACTCAAAAGCCTGCCATCCATGGATTCTGTCAGTGTTTTGATCTGTTCACCATCAACATTGCGTGCAGCAGCAACCACAGCCTCCCAGACACTGTTCAGAGAGGTGTACTGTTTTCCCTCCTTGTAAATCTCACATTTGATGATGGACCACAGGTTCTCAATGGGGTTCAGATCAGGTGAACAAGGAGGCCATGTCATTAGATTTTCTTCTTTTATACCCTTTCTTGCCAGCCACGCTGTGGAGTACTTGGACGCGTGTGATGGAGCATTGTCCTGCATGAAAATCATGTTTTTCTTGAAGGATGCAGACTTCTTCCTGTACCACTGCTTGAAGAAGGTGTCTTCCAGGAACTGGCAGTAGGACTGGGAGTTGAGCTTGACTCCATCCTCAACCCGAAAAGGCCCCACAAGCTCATCTTTGATGATACCAGCCCAAACCAGTACTCCACCTCCACCTTGCTGGCGTCTGAGTCGGACTGGAGCTCTCTGCCCTTTACCAATCCAGCCACGGGCCCATCCATCTGGCCCATCAAGACTCACTCTCATTTCATCAGTCCATAAAACCTTAGAAAAATCAGTCTTGAGATATTTCTTGGCCCAGTCTTGACGTTTCAGCTTGTGTGTCTTGTTCAGTGGTGGTCGTCTTTCAGCCTTTCTTACCTTGGCCATGTCTCTGAGTATTGCACACCTTGTGCTTTTGGGCACTCCAGTGATGTTGCAGCTCTGAAATATGGCCAAACTGGTGGCAAGTGGCATCGTGGCAGCTGCACGCTTGACTTTTCTCAGTTCATGGGCAGTTATTTTGCGCCTTGGTTTTTCCACACGCTTCTTGCGACCCTGTTGACTATTTTGAATGAAACGCTTGATTGTTCGATGATCACGCTTCAGAAGCTTTGCAATTTTAAGAGTGCTGCATCCCTCTGCAAGATATCTCACTATTTTTGACTTTTCTGAGCCTGTCAAGTCCTTCTTTTGACCCATTTTGCCAAAGGAAAGGAAGTTGCCTAATAATTATGCACACCTGATATAGGGTGTTGATGTCATTAGACCACACCCCTTCTCATTACAGAGATGCACATCACCTAATATGCTTAATTGGTAGTAGGCTTTCGAGCCTATACAGCTTGGAGTAAGACAACATGCATAAAGAGGATGATGTGGTCAAAATACTCATTTGCCTAATAATTCTGCACTCCCTGTATATGCAGGGAAAATACAAACCATTGTCTGGAAATCTATTAAATAAACAGGACTATAACTAGGACACTGTCACATTTAGACTGGAAGAAATTAGATTTAGTCTAAGGCTAACAAAAGTGTTTTTTTTTTTTTTTTTTTACAGCAAGAACAATAAGGATGTGAAATTCTCTGCCTAAAGAAGTGGTTTTATCAGTCTGTACATAAACTTAAACAACTGAATGGATACTTGCAAAAAAAATAATATTCAGATCTAAAGTTTGTGGTGAAATGGCTTCTTGATCCAAGGAGAGATCTCACTGCCATACTGGTATCAAGAAGGAATTTCATAGTTTGTTACAAAATTAGAAGCACTGCAAACCCTCCCCCGCCCTCCTTCGTTTATATCAACAGCAAAGAGATGTGAGAAAGGCTGAACTTGATGGATGCATGTCACTTTTTATCTATGTAGCTATGTAATACACAAGCTCACGTTGAGTAGTATTGCCTTGATTCCTCCAAAAGTTACATGTGCATGGGAGAGAGATGATGCATCGCTAACTCACAGCTTTGCAAGAACCACCTTGAGCATTCATGAAAAGGGGAGAGCAAAATAAAAACCAATCAATGAATGAGCCAGAACAGTTGTGCTGTGCATTGCTACCTTGATTTAGTAGTGTGCATGCCTGCCTGAAATTAACTTCATTTATAAAAATACACATTTACATACAGCTTCATTGTAAACCAAAAAAAAAAAAAAAAACACCCAACAAAAAAAACGTAAACACAAATATATTTAATATAGTGCTTAGGTACAGACGTTTGTCTTTTTCAGTACAGTAATAAAAGATACAACATGTATAGATGTTTCAGTATAACCCAATGCAACTGAAGAAAATAAAAAAAACAAGGAATAAACAGAAATCAAGTGTGGCTAGCTTGAGCACAAAACAAATCCCCAAACTATTCATAAGCCACCACTAACCTGCACAATCTTTCCCATAGAACACTTTAAACATATTTCACAATATCTTGTTAACAAAGATGGTTCTTGTGTAATACAATAAAGAAGAAAAAAAAAACCACATCCTCCCAAAGTGCAGAATATGAAAAGCATTTATACAACCAAGATGCGTTAATGTGAAATTTTGGAAAACTATTAACGTGTGACTTACCCCTTACTAAAGTCATATTTCTACTTCTTATTGTTTAAAAGTATATTACATTAATAAAACTTAGTCTTTTTTTAAATGATGCACATTGTTTTGTAGAGAATATTTTACATTCTATCTGACTGAGCAACAGACGTTATCTGACCAACTGCTGCTCAAACTAACTTGCTTGTTGCTGTAATTTTTCTATGTGAAACTGTATCAGTATGCAAGTTAGGTTGAGCAGTAGTTGGTCAGATGACAGACTGAGCCAACATGGCTGTTCAGCCACAGAGAAGTGTAATTTTGCCAAAAATAGCAATATAAATCATTTAAGAAACAATATCATTAAGTTTAATTAAATGTAAAACCAAAAAAAAAAAAATGAAGTGACATTTTGATGTCCTTTAAGGGGAATCCCAACAAGCAGTTACAGCAGTTTGGTGACATGGGATTAGTACAGTACTTTATTTTAATAAAGCAGATTTAAAAATTAGTATACTTTGCTATACTAAAGCTGTAATATCTCTTGGCAATTACAGCCAATATGTGGATAGATTTCAATCACAAAATGACATTGTGACATTGTTCTATATCGAATGTGGCGGTGAAAAATGGCACCCTAAAAAGTTTAAATATAAAGACCAGCCCCAGAACCCAGAAGCAGCCTGTATCTTAACAGACCTGCTAGAGCATTTAGAATGCACATCCACATGACTAACCCTACTGCTCCATACACACTTTTCCAATGCTATCTAAACAGTTTGAAGACTGTTGTGCATGCCTGTTGTAGTTGTGTTCTTAGAGGAAGTAATTCAATAGAAATACTTTGTATTTAACAGTTTCTTAACATATAAACCAATTGTTTCTAAGTATTAACATTTAACAAAATGTCTTCTTTTTAGTGGTCTGCACTGAAAATGCCAGACGTTACGCGATATTATCTGCATGCTTTGCTCGATCTTGCTTTACATTGATGAAGGGGGTGGGATATTGCCATGACCTTCCTCGATGTGAGAAGGCGGTGGCTTGTGTAAGTTGGTCTCCTTGTACACAAACCAAGCATTTCCTGCCCACAGAATCAAATTCAAGAATCCAAAAGCCTACAATAGTACAGAAAAATTAAATGAAAACCGTATAATGTACAATACATATAAATGCGACTGTTTATAATGATATTGCTAGACTAACATTATTATGGTGCTTAGAGTGATTCTTTAAATAATTACAATGTCGATAGGGCAGCAGCTCTAAACAGCGCTAAATTACTTATTCCATAAACTTTTGGTGGGTGTGATATTTATGGAATAAGAACAGATTTCATGAACCAGAATGAGATCATTTGAGTGGTTGCAGGCAGACCCGAGAAAAAGTGCAAAAGTGCAGGAACTTTAATAAAAGTATTCAAAATCAATTTTTTTGCATTTTTACTTAGTGCACTAAAACTGGTGTTATTCATCTGTATTTTCCCTATAAATAATTTTGCCACTGTATGAAGTAATTGTCCTGGAAATCTTATATAAATACATGGCTACATTAGAGGAAATGCCTAGTACACCATAAAACCAACAGATATGCATTGATTCGGAGCAAATGAAACAGTCAGTATATGAATTAGTTCAATATCTTAGCTTTGCTTGCTGATACATGGTCATTCTTGCACTCTCTAATCACTGACCTATTTGCCATGTACTTCAGCCAAGCATAGAACCTTACTATACATCTACATCTTAAAGACCAGCCTAATGCGGTTGCATTATGTATGCCTCACATGTCATTATGAAATAAACAGAAAAACAAACACAGTTAAACATGTAATAGAAACTATATACATTTTTAGATACATAGCTACATTTACAATAAACATACAATATTTTACAAATTAACAATAACTCCATTGCTATTACATTGTAGGTAAGTGGATGCAAAAGTTTCCAGGCACTTCACCAAGTTAAGTTAATATTCTCAAGCACTAAAGAGAGAGACCAAACTTTTTTTTTGAGGTGGAGAATGGAAAATAATGAGCAGAAAGTAAAATGGCACAAATATTTGCATGCTGCTCAGTGTGGGCATTTTTCAGAGATGTAATGACAAACAAACCAACTCGTCCCCGCCCCTTCGCCCCCCCCCCAAAAAAAAAAAAAAAAAAAAAAACATACC